TCCTCCGCACAGAGGGAGGTATCAGTATGAGTTTCACAAGCTGAGAAGCTGGACAGAGGATGCAGCAACAGAGTAGGAACTGAAAGTCATACATAAGGGATACATCTTGAAAGAAAAGTAGAAAAGTGGAAGGTAGAGAGACTTGAGATGGCCTTTACGTCTCCTACGTCACACCTCTTACATCTTCTTTTCCTCCTCATGTTGCTCTGCACTGCACTGACCTCCCTCCTTCCCAAGTCTGATCTCTCTGCCACACTGCTGGGGGCAACAAAAAGAATTGGAACTCTTCACTTCCTTTAAAGCTTTGGGAACAAAAAAACTCACCCACAACTACCAGGCATAATGGATGAAACATCAAAAACACACTATTACTTCATAGAAGTAAAGCAGAGAGAAGAATTTACTGTCAATTTTCTGCTACTGCAAGGACAGAAGGTAGTCTGTTAAAACACACTTGTGAGATCCAAGGAATAGGACCATGCCTTCTACTAACAGAAGGCCCTCCCACAACCCATACCAATGTCACTGTGAAGTAAAATTCCTTCCTGATCCCAAATGTGGTGATCAGCCTGACCCTGAAAGCAGATCAGGAACATCTTGATTTTCTTGGAGTCCCAACAGGAGCATCAGCACACCCCCGTCAAAATCCCCAGCCCTGGCTGTGGCCAACACCAAATGCCTCTGAGGAAGCACAAAAATCCTGTAGCACCAAATTCCTCTCTAGCTCTATGGGGCTACCAGAGAAGCTCAGAAACATAGGATAACCAAACACCCTATACTCTGAAATACAAACTAAACTGCAAAACAACTTCATGCATCACATACCCAAACTGGAGCGCCAGAAATCCCTATTTTACCACCCTATACCCTCCACAAATTTATCCCAGCAACTTTAATCTTTTATAACTAAGCCAGTTATGGAAGTCTGCTTCATTCTCCTGCTTCTGAGCATGATCCTCTTCAACTACTAACTGCTCTAGGCCATAGAACAGTGTGGGCAAAATGCAGCCTGCCAGGCCATTCTATCTGGCACGCGGGGCCCCTAAAAATTTTAGAAAATTAATATTTATCTGCTCCTGGCTGCCTGTCATGTGGCCCTCGATGGCTTGACAAAAGTCAGTAAGTGGCCCTTTACCCAAAATAATTGCCCACCCCTGCCATAGAGCTCTTTGCATGGTCTCTGACTGATGTGTGTGTCAGGCTTTCTTGGCTCCCAACTGTTGCTCTTCAAAGTATACTCCAAACATTTCTGCTCTTAAGTCATCCGTGACCACTGTTTTTCCAACTTCTGCATGAAAACTTCCAATCATCAACGGGTTATAAAAAACCTAACCTCTCTCTAAACACACACAGTTGTTCAAAACTTGTTATTGAACTGGATTTTCAAACTTCAAATATTAATCGTACATATGACCTTAACGATAAAATTTTGTTTTGTGAAACTGCATTCAGTACCTGTATAATGAGTTTAGGGAAAGGCTGCTTTCACTACTAATATACACAAAGCTTGGTAGCAGCAGCAATATGTAACAATATGATACATTATCCCTTAGTGCTTCTGCAACTTAGAATACAGGCAACCCCGCTTAGTGCTCTTAATTGGTTCCAGAAAAACTAAGCATTAAGCAGAACCGTGCTAAGCAAAACCCATTTCCCCATAGAAATGAATGTAAATAGAGATTAAGTGGTTACTGCCCAACCCAATGCCGCCTCTCCCCACTCCCCCGCCCGCCTGCCAGGGCTCCGGCCCCACGTTCCAGCCACCCCGCTCTAGGCCCACGCCAGTCCTGGCCCTGGGCACTGGCACGGGTCCCACACTCGTGCCTGGCCCCCACTCACTACTTTTCACTGCTGCCACCTCTCCCCACCCCCCTTGCTGGCGGGCCGGTCTCTCCAGTCCCACTTGCCAGCCTGGGCACTGGCACTACTGCTACCCTGCTCTGGGCACTGGCCCCTGCCGCCAGGCACCGAT